GTGGACACCCAGGCATTTGAAGCTGCTCACCCTCTCCACTTCACCCCCCCGGATGAACAGCGGCCGATGAGATCTCCTCTCCTTCCTCATGTCCACTATCATCTCCTTTGTCTTGTCCATGTTGAGGCTGAGATTATTGTCCTTGCCCCATGACACCAGACCAACCACCTCCCTCCTGTAGGTAACTTCATCCCCACCATTGATACGACCTATCACTGTGGTATTGTCCACGAACTTCAGGATGATGTTGTCTTTGTGGGAGGCGACAAAGTCATGGGTAAACAGGGTGTAGAGGATGGGACTGAGGACACATCCCTGTGGGGTGCCAATGTTTGTAACAATGCTGGCTGAAGTTCTATTGCCAATCCTGACAGTCTGGGGCCTGCCAGTCAGAAAGTACAGGAGCCAGTCACAGAGGGTGGGGTGCAGACCCAGTGTGCACAGTTTGTGGGTGAGTTATTATTGTTTTTCATGCTGTTAGCATGACAAAAGTGTATATCGGTGCGCAAGTTTTAATAAGACCAAAAATATTTTCACTTTTAAATCATAACACAGTGATGTTGCTTGCTGTATTTTCTTTTTACATACACTGTATGTTTGACCACCATTAGATAGTGAAACACTGTACATGTGTGTCTCACCTTTTTGATAAAATCCTAGTCAATAAACTGACAGTGTGTAACTATAGTTATAGTAGCTAAACCTAGGTAGCATTTGCTAACATTAGCATTAAACAAGTTAGACTGTAGGGACAAACCCCCAGGAGAACAATAACTTTATTTTTGTTCAAAATACTATATTTTTCTGTCAAATAAAGACAACTTCTTGGGTTTGTACAGTATTGCTTGTTGACTTGAAAACAGTACTGACTGAGGAATAAAAAGTAACACAAAGGATGTTTGGGGACTTTAATTCTTGCAATACAATGCTCACAAGTAAAACTGAAAAGCATCTACAGTAAAACATTAATTCCATCTGTCTTTGGTGTTCCACCATGCAGTTGTTTGGCTGCCAAGCCTGTGCTAGGAGAAAAAGTGGTTTAAATGGAGAGCAGGATGACTGATGGAATATCTGTTTCCTCCTCCATCGGAAACAGCAAACCTTTGGAAAGAAGAGAATGAAGAAATTGCGGAAAATGCTAAATATCTGGTCATGGATGAGTGGAAGGAAGAACTGGATTTCAAGGAGGAAGAGAAAAACAGCAAGAGGAGTTGAAGCAGAGAGAAGAACAATTAAAGAGCAACAGCTAAAATGCATAAAGTAAGAAGTTAAGATACTTAGTAAGTAAAGATAATCACAAGATTTTGTTTGTACTTTGTTTACAACTAGTAGTATTCAAATGTCTAAAGCTAAAATGAGAAGTGATTGTATTGAAAAATTAATGATTTAATGAAGAAAACAAGTAAAAGCGACTTTATAATTAGGGTGAAATATACAAGTAAGAAAAGGAGAAGAAGACCAAATGAGGGAAGAAACAACATTGAACAACATTGGTGGTTGCAGGCACTCCCTGGGCGTGGAGCAAGAGTGACCAAGAAGATAACGCAACAGCTTCAACTGACATACTGCCCAAAGGCCAGAGAGAAGTGACAGCAAAAAAAGAGGAAGTCTGTTTGGAGAGGATGAAGCTGAGCTTTGTCACAAGAACCCTTTAAAACCACAGAAAAAAGAGGAACAGGAACTTGTTCAGCAGTTGCTTCTGGAGGCTCTGTCCGGTTGTTTTTCTAAGTTCCAGAAGACCAAAAAACTACAGAGAAGCAAGCCGAGAGGACATCTCAGTTGGCCCCACATGCCAGGGTGGGGGAGGAATGGGAGACAACAGAAGAAACGGAGCTGCTACCTAGAGTGGGAAGTCAGTGATGGGTGTTGGAGCTGTTCAATAAACTCTACATTCCAGCAACAAATATGTGAGTCCCTACCTTGAGGACAAACAAAATGCCACAACTACTAACTCGAACCAACTGAGGACTGGTGATCAGTGACAGACTGACTTTTTAACTCAGTGATTGAGAGCTCAGCTATAATGATTTTAATCAGTGTAATGGCTTAGATTGATGATTAGAAATAATAGTTTATTTATTGAATTGTAAGCTAATAAAACAAGGACTGTTGATGATTTTGATATTTTGCCTTATTGCTTACTGCCATGCTGTAAGTCCCTTTAAATCTATATAAAATTTTTAAAAACCTTAAACTCTCTCTCTTTATTATTACTGTCATTATTATGGTTTCAGAATGGTTTTAGACATTGTATGTAGTGATGTTTAAAGCTGTACATGATGGTTAATATATAAAGTACAATACAATTAGTTTAAATGTAGTTAATCTCCTAAAGAGATTGACAGTGATGGTTGATTATTAAATTAGATTATTGACAATTTTCAGACAGATTGACAAGAAAATACTTGAGACAATTAATCAGTTATTCACTCATTAATCACAGACGTGTCAAGAAAGGGGTTGTTTGCTTATTATTATTGTGTAAATCATCATGCGACCTGCAGCTGTTATGTCACTTGCATGTTTATTAAATTTATTTTTTTAAATTTTTTTATAGCTTCTGAAGGGGTGACCAATTCTGACCTCTCTAGGTTCAAATACCATGGTGTCTATTGCGCTGGAAAAGATGGGGTAGAGAGACCAGGAGGTGCTTGTAGAGAGTATAAATGATGCTGCAGGAGCTCTGTAAACTGTTCTGCTTCACAAACCAGAAATGGAGATGTTGCCATTTGTGACCTTTTGCAATAAATCCTAGGCTTTGCTTCAGACTGAAGAGACTTTGAGTGTTTTTTTTTTTTTATCAAAAGATAAGGGGATCATCGTTGGTGTGTGCCTCACTTAAACTGGCCCAGGTCAGATTTTTAACTCTAACCGGTTCTTTTATCTGAAGGCCCCAAGAAGTAACACTCAGGAAACAGGAATCAGCTTTAACCTTCCTGTTATGTTCTGGGTCAAATTGACCCAGTGCAAAGTAACAAAAAAAAATCTAAAAAAATAGTTAAAAATATTTTATTGGTATGAAACTTCGTCTGCTTGGCGTAATAGGTGTGATCAACATATAAAATGAAAATGGTTCAATTCACATATTTGCAACATCCCCCTGCATGTTTATATTACAAAGATACTGTTCAGGTCAACATAACAGGAGGGTTAACAAATGCTTTATAATACACTATGTAGTTGCTATATGCCATCCTTACTCCTCTGCTTATCTGGGTCAATTCACTGTGCAGCAGGCAGCCAAGCTGCTCTCCTACCCCGGTCTGTAAAATAGCATAAATTAACAGCATCTTATCTATAGTTTCCAGAACGACACTTATCTATGCAATCTACTCTTGCACAATTATCCAAGAAGATGAGAAATACTACAAGTTGACTCGAAGCTGAAAATTATAACTATGGTGTATGCATAAGAGCCAGGTTAATACTGATACATGGTGCTGTTAATGAAACACAGACAGTCATACCAAACTTTATCATTATAAAAGCAAAATAATACTAACACTAAATAAAACAACTGTAACTCCTGAAATCCAATCCTAACAAGGTTCCACAATATTCCCTGGTTTTCACTATAAACCTTTCATCTTTGAACTTTCAACAACTTAACAGTGTCCTCACACCTTCAGAATTCATTGGCTTCTCATTGTGGATTGTTGTCTCATTGTAAAAAGACATCA